ACCCATTCAGCCACTAAGCCAGCTCGTTCATTCGTCAGTTTGTTCATGCGTCCGTTAATCCGCCACGTTCGCAGGGTGAGGTCAGTTATGTTTCAGTTGCATGTCAGTTGCACTTCATGAGGCGGTGTGAGGTGCGGCAGTCCGGCTCTGTCCCTCCCACCTTGTAGCTGGTGAGCGCCATGAGAATGAGGTCCGCATCGTCACCAAAGATGACTGCACAACATTACATATCACATTTGCCGTCGGGGGGGGTTGCGGAGGGGGTGGGTTGTGGGGTGGGTGGGTGGGGGGGGTGGGCCCGGGGGGAAAGACGAACCACACACGATTGAAGCTGCTGCCAGGGCCCGGGGGGGGGTAAATACGGGGCAAAGAAGAGTGCAAAAAGCGAACAGCATAACTTGTTCCACACCAAAGAACATCCAAAGCAAGCACATACAACATGACTTAACCGCTGTGGCGACGGCCGTGATGGCGGTGGCGACGGTGACGGCCGAGCGTCATCCAGGACCGGTCACCAAACATGCACACGGGGTATAAGTGTGGGGGGGGGACGAGAGGACGTTTTCCCTCTCCTCCTCGCCGTCCTCACCCACCTCCATACCCCTCACCTCTCTCCCACCTCCAATAATTACTCCCCCACCCGCAATCACAGCAATCCCCCCTGCCGTACCCTGTCGTACCGTGTGTGTCTTTTGGGTTACCCGGGTGCCAGGGCCTGGCGAGGCGACCCAAGACCTTCACCTCACCCTCGCCCTGGGGAAGGGAGGAAGGGGAAGGGAAGGGAAGGGGAAGGGGAAGGGAGGACGAGAGAGGAAGGAGAAGGGGAAGGGGGGGAAGACAGGCAGATGGCTTCGGGCGGAAAGGCAAGGAATATTCTTTCAAGGGGATGGACAGGTGGGCCCAGGCGGGTGGGTGGGTACGTGGGAATCATATGCGAAAAAAGAAATCATTGCGGGGCTCCAAACCCCAATCCTCAGCGGTTTGGTAAGGCCGCCGGAGGGGAACACAGCACTGGAACACAGCAGCAGCACGCGCACACCGGGCCCGCCATGTGGCTAGGTGGCTAGGTGACTACGTGGTGTGTTTTGTGTATATCCCCCCGGGTGGCAGCTCCTTCCCCCAGGCCTCAGCCCTCAGCCGGCCACCGGCCCTACCATGACGTTGCTGTCGGACAACTCAAACAACAGATGGCGATATCGCTTGCCGGACATCTGTGAGGGGGGGATGGGGGGTGGGGGGCGGGGGAAGGGAGGGGGCCCGCAGGGGTTAGACACGAGGGAGGATACACTTTCCGTGCACACTTTCCAGAACGCAGGGATGGGAAAGGAGGGGAAAAGGGAGGAAAGGGAGGAAAGGGAGGAAAGGGAGACATGCAGGGAGGCAGGTGGAGGAGTGCCCCTGTCGCAGCAGTGAGGGGGGCACATCACACACTCTGCGCCATGGAGCAGATGACACGCGCCCGCGCGCAGCACCACAGTAGGGTGGGAAAAGGAGAAACACAGACATCAGGGGGGCACATCACGCACAAGTTTCCCCTTCTCCAACACACGCACCCGGGCCGAGGGGCCCCCTCCACACACACAGAAACACAGACAACTGACAAAGCGAAAGCTCCCCCCCCCTATCACACACACACGCACGCACGCACGCACACACACTCTACCTTTGTACAGCAGAAGTACGTAAGCGAGTGTGTGAGGTCCAGCATGAAGGTCGTCCCTGGAGTGATGGCCACCCCGGTCAGCGTTTCACCCTCATCCACACTCCGGCCCTTCTTCTGCGAGCCATTGAAGTCGCATTAGCAGTAGCAGTAACCGCAGGTGCTCTTTGGAGTTAACGGGCAGTTGGTGGTTAGGGTGTCGTATTACCTTGCGCCTGTCCCGCTGCGTGAGGAGCTTGGCCAGCGGGGCGGGTCCGTCCACAGCAATCATGACGGACTTGTTGGGCTGCGTCACGTCGAGGATGGCACTTAGGCGCTTGTGGAGGAGCTTGTGGAAGTGGCCGTGATTGCGGGCTGGGGCGTTAACGGTGGTTTGGTTTTTATAAGGGGGCCACATCGTTGTGGAAAGGGGGAGAGGGGGGGGAGGGGGGGGAGTGGTTGGGGCGGTGCGCGGGGACGCGGGGAAGGATTTTGCGGGGGCTAGCGGGAGGGGGAGGAGGGGGGGAAGTCGTGCTGGACGTGTGAGGTCTGGGGAAGGGATGCTGGGTACGGTGACGGGTTTGGGAGCTGTGTGCGTGGATGAAAGGGGGTAGGTGGTTCTGGAGGGTTCTGGAGAGAGTGTTTAGCCGTTGATGCGTACTCATGTAGAACAGCTCAGAAGGTAGGATTGCCGCTCCGCGGCGCGGGAAGGACCCACCGTTGCGCATGACCGTGTGGAGGACCGAGTTTAGGTCAATATACAAGTGATCAACGCGGACTTTGTCAAGAGGCAAATATGCCTTCGAATATTTCTCTGAGAACCAAACATTGAAACCCGGAATACCCATGGCAAAAAGCTTTGGCTAACAAACTGAGAGATGCCGTGTCTCGGGTATAATGAACGTCTAGGGCTATACACGTTAGGCTTTTTCCTTTAACCAGACGTGGCCATTGCAATGAAACGTCACAACGAGCTCAGTCCTGTGGCAAACAGCCGCCAAGAGGCGTAAATCCCGAGAACGAATTGATAAGCAAGAATTGTCAGGCAAAGCATGGTTAATTGCCGGAAAAGGAAATTTTTGACGCCGTACACATAGAAAGAGCTAAAAGTCCGGAATAGAATATATGAGTTGCATCCTGCATTCTGTTCATTTCGGATTTTACATGACATTCTGGAGGTGCATGTCGGAAGTTTGAGCATACAAGGTACTTCACGCCCACGAGCTCGGGACGGCTGCCAGGTCACGACGTGCTTTGTGAGTTGTTTCGAAAGGATAGATAGCTTCCGTCTTAAAGATGGTGCTTCTGACGTAGCACATTCGACGTTACGTTTGGAACGAAGACCAATCTTATACATCGTGACCCAGAACCCTGCTTATAACTTCCCTTTCCCGACAATCCCCTTTCGATACGCTTCCTGCATAACCCTCCATAACAACCCGGGTCGTCGGGGTTATGCAAACTTCGGAAGCATTCCGTTACGCCGCGTTGCGGAGAAGAACTTATTTCACGCCCTTGCCCATAATGCCCGTTACGCCATTCCAGGTACTATCACAGAAAACCGTCCGGCATCAGGACACAGCAGATCGCAACTTCGCCCCCATATGGCCACGAACCTCTGTGCGGAGTGCGGAACTCGCCTGCCGCGGCCTGAGTACAAGATACACATGCAACAAGTTCACGGCGTCCCAGTTATGGACGATAGCGACGATGATGATCAGGCCAAGACGGCCCAGGGCTCGGCTTCGGCCGCTGAGGGCGCCGACGAAGCACCCCTCCAGCAGCGCCCAGGTCGCGGCGGCGGCCGTAACAACACCCGCCGCGAAAAAGCTGGTTCTGCTGCTGCCGCCGCCACCGATGGCGACGCCAGCCCGGTAGACGGTGATGGTGCTGACGCGGCGCCGCGCGCCAACGGCAGCCGTCGGCGTCGCGGCGGCAGACGTCCCACAGCTGGGGACGGTAAGGCTGAGGGAGGCGAATTCGCCTGCTCACAGTGCGACCGCTCCTTCGCCACCTCTCAAGGCCTCATGCGTCATAACCAGGCCAAACACGCCGAATCGGCTACAGCAGCGGCGGCGGCGGCCGTCTCGAGTGCCATTTCGGCGCCGACGCCCGTGCGCCGCGGCGGCCGCCAGCGGCCGACAGGCAACGACACCGCGGCGGCGGCAGAAGGCGGCAGCAGCGCCAGAAGTCCGGTTGAGAACGGCGACGGGGGTCCGCAGGCAGCTGCTGCCGCCGGCGCCCCCGCCGCCGCGGCGGCGGCAGCACGTCAGCCGTCGCGGCGGCGGCCTCGGCAACCGCCCGCCGCGGCTCCGCCGCTGGATCCTGAGGCCGCGGAAGCCGCCGCCGCCGCGTCTGCCGCGGCAAAGGCGGCGCTGGACGGGTCCCCAGCGGAACCGAAGCCCGAGCGCTTTGTGACGCTGCTTCGCTGCAAGCTTTGCGAGCAAGGCTTCAAGTACGTCACTTTAGTTGTGGCTGTAGCAGTGGTTGTCGATGGCTAGGCGGGTGGTTGGATGGGTGGGGGTTGCGGTTGTAGCGGGGTATCGCACACACACCAGAGGCGGCGGCGCGGATGTGGTGTCCGGATGTCCGGGCCAACCACACCATACTGGACGTCCGCCTAAATCCAACCCAGCGAACGGCCCCCAAGGGGAACCGTCTCCCGGAGCAATCTTGACAGACAATCACACCCTAGCCCATTTTTTTTGACATCCTCCTCCTCCGCCTCCTCCCGTCACCCTCTTCCCCTGCCCCTGCCCCTACCCGGCCGCCGCTCTTCATTGTTACCCGCCTGCGTCGTCGTCGCGGTACTGCACTTGCCGGAGGACGCGTCTAATGATAGGAGTAAGAACCGCGCTCGCAGCCATGTGGGGGAGGTGCATCGGGATGCGGTGCCGCCAGCCAAAAACGAGGGTACGGAGGCAGCGGAGGCGAAGGCGGAGGGTGGGGCTGTGGCCGCGGATGAGCTGTTGGAGCTTGTGCAGGTGCGGGGGGGGTGGGGGATGGGCAAGGAGGGGAGGAGAGGGAAGGGGGGGGAGGGAGTCTTGACTATAACGCGAAAGAGTGGCAACTACTGACCGACCGGGGGGGGGCAGGAGAAGGCGAAATGTCATGACACAATCGTGGAGGCACCCGTGCGGATGAAAACGCGATATGCGGATATGTGAAGTTGGGAGCAAGGGCGAGGGCGGAGGAGAGAGAGTGGGGGTGTGTATGCGCGCCCGGCTGACATTGTAAGGGGTGCGGGAAGAAGGGGGCGATTTCCGATCTGTGGCGGTTTCCCTTCTCCCCAGCCACCTTAGTAACCGACTTAGTAACCACCCACTCCGCCTCCCCTTCCACGGCAGGTACCTGCCCGCCGGGCGCCCAGGGCCCCGGGCCGCCGCACTCGCAAGACCCGGGCTGCGGCCGGCGGCCCTGACGGGGAGGCCGTCGCTGAGGGGGGCCCAACAGACCTGAAGGGGGCCACGCGACCCGCAACCGGAGTGAGGAGGGGCGGAAGGCCCCCGAAGAAGGCCGCGGCGGCGGCGGCGGCGGCGGCAGCCGACGAGCTGGCACTGGAGGCGCCTTCGGCGCCGGAAGGCGTCTCCGCCACTGTCACCACCGCCGGCGGCGGCGGCGGCGGCGCCGCCGCCACCGGTGCAGTGACCGACGAGCTGGCGGCTCTTGGCATCGTGTCTTCATCGTAAAGTCGGAGAGGAAAGTTACGAACGCCTTTCCGTTCGCGCTCTCGCGCGCGCGTGTATGCGTATGCGTAATGCGTATGTGCACACACGAGAGCCACATGGACTGGCGTTAGCTTCCGCCGCCGCCGCTGGTGGCGGCACCCGCAGGTCTCCGCCCCGGCGTTGCGGCCCTCAACGACGAGGAGCAGTGCCAGCTTGGCCCCCCTGGCGGCCTCACCACGGCAAATGAGGCCCACAGCCACTACAAGCGCCAACGAGGCTACGGCTACGGTGCCGGCCTTCCCGCAACGAGCCGTCAATGAGCAAAAAGCTGACCACCTAGCCCTAGCCGCCGTCGACCAGACGCCACGGCCCGTCGCTGTCGTAGCAGGGTCGCCCTCTCCCCCCCCCTCTCCGCACGTATCTGTGTTGGCAGTGTTTCAGGTTCTTGGTTCCCCGCGGGCTTTGTCGTCCTCGTCTTCTCCCATAAGCCTCACCAACCCGCTGAAGAGGGGTTTGTGTTTCACATACACAATACAATACACACGCAAGCACGCACACAGTCACACAGTGGGCGGCCAAGGCCATGAGTGGAAGATCTAGGTATGTTGCGCCAGTTTCGAATAGCTACACCTGCAATGTACGGAAAGTACGACGGGTCCTGTCCTCCTGGCACCGCCCGTTGGGCTCAAAGACCGAGGCACCGCCATCATCGAATTTCCTCTCCCTCGTAGTTTCGGTCGGCGGGTTTAGTTTGGGGGAGGGGGGGGGGCCAAGGTGGATAAAGGTGCGATGTGGCGATGATGGTGGTGATGGGTGGCGAGATGGTGGTGGTGAGATGATGCGCCGGGACAGTTACGCCGTAAGGTGATTGGGGCTTGATGCGCCGGGATGATAAGAGGGTTGCATGATATGCCGGGTTGCCGGGTGTCGTACTACGCATAATGTACGATATCCAGATACTCCAGTGTGAGGTGGGTGAGTGGGGAAACTCTCCGTACAGGCATCCATCTCCGCGATACGTTAATGTGATGTTGGGAGAGACGGGACAACTGCCAACCGCTATAACCGCCAACCAATGGACAAAAAACCATCAAGCCCACGCCATCCATCCTGTTGCTTTTTTGAAAATTGTAAGAAGGGCTGTGGCTCCCGACGGCCCCGTTCAGCTTAGCCACGCCGCAGCTGCAGCCCTTTGGAGTTTCTTAAAATGCAATCTTGTACAGCACACAGTGAGACGCATGTGTCGTACTTCCGACCGCGCTTAGCAGTGGCCACGGTCGGACCTTCCTCCTACGCAGTGTGTTTGTCGTACGGAAACATATCGTAAACACACGCACATCGCAACGTACGCGGCCAGTTCCCTCCGGTGTCGCAGCTTCCAGCTTTCCTTGCTCGTACACTTGCTTGCTTAACGAATGTGCGCATATGCCTGTAGGCACCCACATCGAATCTAACGGAGGTGGATGAACGCATCTAGGGCATAGGTGGTCTCAAGGCGCACAGCGCCTGTTTCGAGGCTACGAGGCGCGCGTGGCGCCTGGTTCAAGGCGATGAGGGGTGAAGTAGAGTAGAGAGAACCGTTGGTATGCGGCATGAAGAAGAAGACCATGGTGCGCAAAAGCTTGAAGAAAGGGCCCGCAAGCGCCAGTAAAAGAAGGCGCGTTGTAAAAGGCTTTGGCAAAGTAACATGCCGGGGCTATTGGTTTGGCCCTGCGGTTCCTCGACGTTTGTGACACACTGAGTCGCGTTGGGGGCCAGGGGGGAATACTCCCGGGGCGACAGTGCCCGGGCCTGCATGTGCAGGTGGCAGGAAAGTCAGATAGCACACACTTGTTAAAAAATCGTCAGTCGGAAGAAGTGTACGTCCAGCACAGGGCGCGCCACGGTTAAAACACTTAAGGGGAATGTTGCATGCTTAAATTTTTTGGAAACCTGGAGTGAGCTACAGTGCTGGACGTCTTTCTTGGCGGCCTCTTAGATAGCTGCGATCGATAGATCGATCTTTGTTCAGTACAAATCAGCATAACAGCATACGACAAAAGACAATTTGTGACGGGAAATGGAAGGAGGATTTGGTTCGGTGTACGGCAGTCATGGTTCAAATTTCCTAAACCTGTCGGTAGATAAAGACCCATGTCTTTCAAGGGCTGGGATACGCAGCTCATCAGAGCTCAGATATGAACACCCTCCTGATGCGCTCGCTGACGCCCCAGTAAAGAGTGAGCACGCCAGAAGCGCGCATGTCTTGGAGATCAAATTTCGTGCTGTGAAGATAGACCTTGGGCAAGGTCGTGAGGATGACGGTGAGGATGACGGCGACATGGCGGCCTGCTGAATGGGAAAGAATGGTCTTCTGAAGCGTGCAGCAGCGGAAGGCCGCAGCCGCAGCAGCCGCAGTCCACACGCGCCGTCAGTAAATAATCACGGAGTTATATATTTCCTATGGGATAGTTTAACATTTATTTCGGGTGGTGGAGTCCGGGTCGTTGCGGCGTGGATTGGGGGTCTTTCCAGTGCGGATTAAGGCCAGGGATTAGCGTTAATCCCTGCGCTAATCCCGGCAGTGGAAATCCCACCGGGATTAAGCAGGATTAGCCGGGGATTAAGAAATTCCTCAGGACACCGTGTTCTCTAATCAGAAGATTAGCGGGAGCTAGCAAGAGATTAGGAAAGAACATAAACTGAACTTGATGCCCATGTATTTACCTGGCAACCTGTGACAAAAAAGTTATTACCTGGCTCGAGCCAGGTAGTAACTTTCCGTATCTGGATTAGCATTCACGGCGCCATGTCTGACGTTAATTTCTAGGTAGTTCCATATATATGATCTCAAATAAGCAATTCCTGTTTTGGGTTGCTCAAAAGGTGATGAAGAGATGAACGGCGAGAAGAGTGCGCTTCCTGTTCATATCTAATACTGATTCAACTCCTAATGCCCAAACTAGTTCAGAACTTAACAATTTTAGCTTCAGAATCACATAGAAAGTATGCATCGCCCTTTGTACGGCCTTAATCCCAGCGCTAATCCCAGGCCTTAAGAATTGCCAGGGATTAGCCGGGGATTAGCCGGGAATAGCGGGACCTTAATCCCTGGCCTTAATCCGCACTGGAAATACACCCTTTGTGCATTTGCCTTTGCCCGCCCCTCACGCCTCCGGAAAGGTGTGCAAGTGACGAACGACGTTTGAAAAGTTACTTTGGGTTAATACTTCACCGTGAAGTTCGCATATTTGAAGTTATAAATAGCCATGATGTTCGTTTCTCAACCAACAGTTATTCAACGCCACGCGGCTTTCCAAATGGCCTCGGAGTCGGAGATTGACAATCAAGCAATTACGTTGCCGACTCAAAATTTTATAGTCAAATATTTTTCATTTTAATCACTATGATTAATTTTGCATGGGCAGTTAGATACATTTGGAGCAAGTGAATTTCCCAATGATGTATTGCCGTCAACTTGTAATTACTCACGAAACTTTAACGAACAACTCGATTAATGGGAACAGAATAAATACATGGTACCTAAATGGTGACTAGAGGATTTTGCAAAAGTTAGGGCAGAGGAGTCGAACGGCTTAACTGGCAGCAGGTCTGCAGATTGACCAGACTTTGAAGTCAATCAACCTATATGCTATATATAACTTCGCGTTGGCATCTGCAGTCCAAGTCTTCCCATCCCCTTCCCATCCGTCACACAACAGGTAGCGCGACATGAAGAACTATCTAGCCGCGCTCTTGATCGTCGCAACATGGGCCGCAACAGGTATGTCTGCAAATTGTTCTTAACCTTGGACGTTATCTCCAAGGGAATCAAGACTGGAAAAACTACAACCTGCCAGGAACATTGCATTCGGTAGCGTGAATATGTCGTAGAGTTACGTATGACGCTTACCTTCTCACCTACCTTCCTCGGGGGTCTCCAAAACTTCCAAAACAGGCATCGCTAAGATTTCGCTTGCTTGGTGGCGCTCAGATTTCTTTCTGCTCCCATGTCCATGGCAGGTGGCAGGGCGGCCAAACCTTTTGAGCAGGTCCTCCTGTCCTGGACCCCAAGCCGCCCCAACAACCTGACTCTGAGGCCCTCCAGCCAGCCAGATGGCAGCGCACTGCTCGGCTGGTGGATGGGCTTCAGTAACGCCAACGTCACGGAGAGCAGCTCCGGAACCACATTCACTCAAAATCCCCACATGTAAGAGCAAACACTGTGTGTGGCAGGGAAGTAACGTTTTCAATGGGTCATAAACCCTGACGTCTGTCGAGACGGGAATCACTGCTGTGCCTCTCTATGCATGCCTGTCTGTCTGTCTTTAATTCTGTCTGTCTGTGTGTATGTATGCATGTGATGCGTATGCTGCTAATCGTAGTCAACCCACAACCCTCCCCAATGAGGCGTGTGTATATGAATGCACATCTTCCTTCAGCACCCGAACGCGCACCCCCGCACACATGACATTGCTGCCGACCTGCGTGCAGCGTCTCCATACCGCCCACTCCAGCCACAACCACATCGTCATTCGGTTTTCTGGATCACATAAAGCATCTTGCCGTCACGACCCCCATCAAGGTTTCTTCAGGAATCCGCAAGCTGGTCTACTCGGCACGATTGAGTGTCAAGGTCTGTGTGTGTGTATGTGTTTGTGAGAGTGGGTTGGGGGTATGTATGCGTATCCGGGCCTGGCCAGGGGCACCTAATGGTATACCCCAACGGGAACGACCGCCGAAACACTCCATCATTGGAGGGGCGTTGTATCGGTCAGAGTCCTCGCCAGTGTCCTCACCATACTCCCTTATCAACGCAAGGCGCCGTCACCTGTTCGAATCCTCTAGCCAGCCACATACACCAGCTCAGACGCAATGCAACCTCCGTTTCCACCGAAGGCGCCCAGCTTAACAATAGTGCGATCTACAAATGTACTCACGGTGATCCCAATCGCCACCCTATCCTTGCGAATTAAGCCAACGCCCGGTTTCGTTATCCAACCATCATCTAAAGTACACAGTCGGCTCTAGGCCATCCGCAGAACTAATCCTGCGCCACCGCTCTGCGGCGGCGGCGGTGTACTGTTCCTCTTAGGGCTTGGTGAGAGCTCCACCTCCAGCCGCCCAGCGCGCTGGAGGGGAACCAGTATTTCATCTAATCTCAGCGTTCGACACCCCCATCTGATTTCCACCGGAGATCAGCGGTATCGGCCAGCCCGCGACCTGTAGCTAGATGCCGACTCTGGGATTCGAATTCCAGACTTGTCAATTATTTATCCCGGTGCTCTACCAATTTGAGCTACGCCGATATGTGTAAAACTGTGAATGTGTAGAATAAAGA